TAAATTTATGGAGAACCCTTATGAGGACCCCATAATTTTTTTTCTGTGTACATTTTTAAGGTATAATTTTCGCAAGAAGATACACTGAAGTTCAATGCAATGCTGTAAGTCTTTTTGTACAAATGATGGTGCTTGATGCAGTGGTGAGCTCTATTGGTCAAGGTGGAAAATTAGTTGGTATGAAACTGTTTAATGGCCCAACTCCTCTACACCAATTTTTTTAACATGCTATTAAACTTGTATGCTGTGAAACGATGCAACGTTAGAATGTTTAGAGAACAAATATGTTATTAAATGGGTATTTTGCTGGACATGTTTATTAATGCTTCTCATTAATGTTTAATGGTAATGGAAATATGTACTGGTGATGGTAAATGTGTCAATTGGAGTGAAAAAGAGACCAATCGGCAATAAATAATATGAGGATATGCAATTCATGAACCCAATTTTCTTCTGCATGATTGTGAAGTTAGAATTTCAAAGAGAATGATTTAAGATTTCATAATCATACAAAAGCTTACTAAGTAAAAGTACTCACATGAGAGACCATTTCTGGGGCAATCTTGGTGTGCTTTATAGTAAACCTCCACAATTTTACTTGAGAGCTGTTTTTGGAGAAGAAAAAGCAGCACTTGCCTAAAACGTAATGGGGCAATCTTGGTGTGCTTTATAGTAATCCACCACAATTTTACTTGAGAACTGTTTTTGGAGAAGAAAAAGCAGCACTTGCCTAAAACGTAAAAAAAAATGTCAATGAACAGAGAATGAAGAGCAGAGGACAGCCGATGAAGATGCATTAAATCCTGATGTTCAAGACTTTGGTCAGTTGTATAATGCACCTTGCCGTATCTTGTGTTGTCGCTGGCTGTTCGTAATGTATGTGATCGTCTCACTGGTGGTGCATGGTTGTGTCTATAAATCTCCTCACTGATTCTATACAAACATACAAGTCTATACAAATCTATGTTCTGTCCAGCAAAAAACAAGTGACATCACATGCATATGGAAAAATTATGATGTGGTTTGCAGAGGTGGTGTGTCCTGTGCAGCTATCTAGCTTAAACCGCACAAAGTCCAGGTTCAAAATGTTTTAAAATTTATGGAGAACCCTTATGAGGACCCCATTATTTTACTGTGTGCATTTTTTTATGTATCATTTTCGCAAGAAGATACACTAAAGTTCAATGCAATGCTGTAAGTCTTTTTGTACAAATGATGGTGCTTGATGCAGTAAATGGTGAGCTCTATTGGTCAAGGTGGAAAATTAGTTGGTATGAAACTGTTTAATGGCCCAACTCCTCTACACCAATTTTTTAACATGCTATTAAACTTGTATGCTGTGAAACGATGCAACGTTAGAATGTTTAGAGAACAAATATGTTATTAAATGGGTATTTTGCTGGACATGTTTATTAATGCTTCTCATTAATGTTTAATGGTAATGGAAATATGTAATGGTGATGGTAAATGTGCCAATTGGAGTGAAAAAGAGACCAATCGGCAATAAATAATATGAGGATATGCAATTCATGAACCCAATTTTCTTCTGCATGATTGTGAAGTTAGAATTTCAAAGAGAATGATTTAAGATTTCATAATCATACAAAAGCTTACTAAGTAAAAGTACTCACATGAGAGACCATTTCTGGGGCAATCTTGGTGTGCTTTATAGTAATCCACCACAATTTTACTTGAGAACTGTTTTTGGAGAAGAAAAAGCAGCACTTGCCTAAAACGTAAAAAAAAATGTCAATGAACAGAGAATGAAGAGCAGAGGACAGCCGATGAAGATGCATTAAGTCCTGATGTTCAAGACTTTGGTCAGTTGTATAATGCACCTTGCCGTATCTTGTGTTGTCGCTGGCTGTTCGTAATGTATGTGATCGTCTCACTGGTGGTGCATGGTTGTGTCTATAACTGGGCCTGTTTTTCTACTACACGTCAATAGGGGTGTGGAGAAACCACAATGAGGTCTATAAATAATACTAATACTTCTTTTAGTAAGTAGAAAATGTTCTCTGCATATTACCTATAAATATTCTCAGTTTTGAAGGCTATTCATATACTTTAAGTTCATATCATGCTAAACTTTACGGAAGATGAGGAGTAGTAGGTGTAAAATAGTAGCATACATTGGAAATGGAATGTAAAAGAGAACCAGATGTACTAAACTATTTCCTGAAAATGTACGTGACAAAGTGCATTTGTGGGCTAGTGTCCACAACCCACTGCACTACAGAAGAGATGACAGCGCTTTCTTTTTAGACTTTTTCCAGTTTCAATGAAATTAACCTGGTTGATTCCATGCCCTGGCAAATTTAGGGTATTCTGGAGGCAAAGTTTTGAAAGTTAATAAAAGGCCCACTGCCTTTCTCAATATTTAGCCTACATCAACGTGCTGCATTATAAGTGTGATAAAATGGCGACCTCTAGCAGTCAGAAAGAGCAACTGGCCAGCAGGCCTGGTATCCATTGGCCAGGTGTCTCTAACCCTGCTCCTGGAGATCAACCGTCCTGCAGAGTTCAGCTCCATCCCCAATCAAACACACCTGAACCAGCAAATCAAGGTGTTCAGGGTTACTTGATAATTGCAGACAGATGGTTTGGAACTGAATACTGCAGGAAGGTAGTCCCCAAGATCAGGGTTGGAAGCCTCTGCTCCAGGTTCATCTGGAGATGAGAAAAAGGTTTATTTCAGGCATTGTTGTCAACACTGTGCAGTACTGTAATCATTTTGTATTAGTCTAGACTAGCATAGGTTACTCACTCATGTTTTCTCTGCAGTACCTTATACCTGTGTATCTCAATGCCTGTAATCCAGGGGTGTCCAAACTCGGTCCTGGAGGGCCACTGTCCTGCAGAGTTTAGCTCCAACCCCAATTAAACACACCTGCACCAGCTAATCAATGTCTTACTAGGCATACTAGAAACTGGCAGGCAGGTGTGTTGAGGCAAGTTGGAGCTAAACTCTGCAGGACTCTGCAGGACAAGTTGGAGCTAAACTCTTGCAGTTTATGCTTAACACTGAAACTTTATGGCCTTTTCAGAGTAATTCATTAAACAGGTTGCAGTTTGAGGAGAGTGCACTAATAGGCTATTTTCAGTAACATTCGTTCACACATTTGCTCAAGGATACATAATAGTTCAGTTATAGTCTATGTTGGGGTAACAATGTCAAAAGTCTGAATATAAAATGGGAAAAAATTGTCACAGATTCACACAGTGGTAACAACCAACCACACGAATGCTGGCGTCAGTCTCAGAAGTAGCGATGATCAGTGGATCAAAAGAGTCAACAGGAAATTTATCTTTGGTTTGTTTGATGCAAACTTCTTGTTTTATATTATTTAATCTACATGAAGAAGTAAACTATCCCCATCACACACACATACTCACTCTCTCTTACACACATGCATGTGCACCCAACCCACACGTATTTGTTTATAATATAAATCCCAATATAATATAATATAAAATATTATATAAGGATTCAAATAGTTTGAAAGTTGCATCAATATTTATTTTAAATAGTTTTAGAATAATTACAGTACAGCTTAATGGAAAGCTTCCACAGAAAAGCTCATTGATACACTATAAATTATTTTAATTATTTATCTTTAATTAAAGCCAGCTGATCCACTATCCACTGTTTTTTTTTTTTTTTTTTTTACCAAAGAAGAAAAAAAACAATTTCATATTCTGGGCAGTGACATTATAAACCAAACAACATGCCTGAATTAAACATGCATGCACTTTGACATGTTGGCCTCTTCACTTATGTATTATACATACATTTATTTATGTAATCTACATCTACATCTCATCTTCTCTATACCCATCCTGTTTTTATTTAAAAAGCCAAATGCATTGTACTATATATGGTGCTGTATTGCGTAGGACATTGTGCAATGATTCCTATCCTAATGTGCAGTACTGCAGTGTCTTGCAAGAGAGCACAATTTTAAGTTCTAGAAATTATCTTCTGTCTGAGCTACAACAATACTTATAGTAGCATTTACAGTATGTGCTACACACAAACTATATAATTATTGATATGATTTATTATAAATTAATCTATGATGATTGTGATGTAGTAGTACTAACAGATGTCATGGTTTCCTTGGTCCTGATGTCTCAACATACTGTAGATAAGAAATGCTGTAGTTATTCTCATCCTGGCCGCATGCAGAAGTGAGTGGATCTATATGACACAAATGAAAGACAGCTCATTAATAATATATAATACAGTAATTGACTTGTTTTTGTCTTTATAAAGCAATTGTTTTAAGTGTATTTTAAGTTTTTTTTTCTCCAGTATATTATGTTCCAGATGTGGATCCAATGTCACGTATATCAAAGCTATTATTTCTCTTGGAAGACTTTAGTGAAAGGTCTTTGATAAAGTAATCTTAATGAATTTAAAGTAAATTTAATATTCTGAAGAGTATGTGTGGCAGTCAGTCACCGGTGTGGATATTTACTGTACTTCGCAATCACAGATTCTAGCCTACATCTTGGAATATGACCCAAATAAGAATTTTCACCAGATATTGCCATCTGAACAAGTAACAAGTCTGCCACATTTGTTCTGACCAATTGAGGAAAAAAGCATTACCATAAATCTTGCTACCAATGGGGATTAAATCTAAAGATCGATTAGCTCATATCACATCAAACCTTGCAAATTATTATTATTGTTATACTTTATTCTCAAATGATTCATGTTAATATCATCAGCATTGGTGACTATGAGTACAGTGTGTATTAGCGTGTAGATTTCTTGGAAGACTTTAGTGAAAGGTCTTTGATAAAGTAATCTTAATGAATTTAAAGCTGCAGTCTGTAAGTTTTGCCTCTTTGCTGCCATCTCTGTTTGAAAATCTGGAATTGCAGCTGTGTGCAGAATTATCTAGCTTGCGTGGGTTGTGAGTGGTCACGGCTCCAGCGCGGATGAATCTAATATTCTGAAGAGTATGTGTGGCAGTCAGTCACCGGTGTGGATATTTACTGTACTTCGCAATCACAGATTCTAGCCTACATCTTGGAATATGACCCAAATAAGAATTTTCACCAGATATTGCCATCTGAACAAGTAACAAGTCTGCCACATTTGTTCTGACCAATTGAGGAAAAAAGCATTACCATAAATCTTGCTACCAATGGGGATTAAATCTAAAGATCGATTAGCTCATATCACATCAAACCTTGCAAATTATTATTATTGTTATACTTTATTCTCAAATTGTTCATGTTAACATCAGCATTACGTGACTATGTGGATATAGTGTGTATTAGCGTGTAGATTTCAATTTCTGGACAGTCTAATCTCTAATTGTCATACCATTCGAATTTCATATTAAGAAATTCTTTTAACCCAAAAAGCAAATTATGCTCCCTTCGAACTGGTT